GGATTTCATTGTCCTTTTCCTTCCCTGCCTCTATTTGCAATCACCAACTTTTTCACTTCTGCTCTCAATACTAGACTTACTTGTGGTTTCTTGGCTCTAAGAGTAGCTGCTATTGCTCTTGTGTTTCATTGGGCTTTAACTTCTGTCTGGTGTGACAGAACTGGGAAAGGGGAGGATGACTGATATCTATAAAGTCAGCCATTTTCTCCTTACTGAGTTGAATCGCACCCAGGACGTTGTCCTTTTTCCAGTGCTCAGGGAGTCCTTTGAACCATGTCCTTGGCCACACACACTAGGTCTAAGTGACTGTCTGTAAGGTGGAATAGGACAGGGAAGGACTGTAGCTCTAGAGCTGAGGTCAGCACTGATACCTGCAGCTAGAAAAGGAAAATTAGGGGAGGTGTTTGGCACCCTGAATGTTTTTGAGGACATTGAGCTCATACTATGACCACATTGGAACCCTCAACAAGAATGAGGGTGCCATGAAGGTTACGAACAGTAGGTCAGAGACACCCCACAATGGGCCGCATTGAGGGACAAATCCTGATTTCACTGAAGTCCGTTGAAGTAAAACCTGGATTTCACCCAAGGCATCAGACAAGATGCAGCAGGTGGGCAACAGAGACAGACAGTCAAGCGGGAATGGAGGGAAAGATCAGGTGGCAAAACAATCAGGATTTAGCACATAAAAAAAAGAACAACATGCCACCGTCTTAATGGCACTCACTGTTGATATTTAATATTGATGTATTTATTCATTGATTTATTCATTGCACCTTGTTACTAAAACATTAACTCCAGGGATGTTAGTGGCAAAATTCGCTTTCATTTCACTGGGGCTAAGATTTCAACCAAGGTATGGATAGAAATGTATCAAAAAGACCAGTAAGCAGGTAAGAGAAGTAAAAAAGAGGTGCAATTATGCAAACACATGTTGACTGAGTCCATTGATTTCTGTTTTTCTTTTTAAAGTACATCAAAAGTTTCATCCGTGTGACTTGGCTGAAGAGATACGGCTCTTCTCCCAGTGAAGAGATAATTACTTTGATGTGGTCCTTTGTTGTGTCCATTTACAGCATCGGTGGGCTTCTGGGGTCCTTGTCTGCTGGATATTTGTCTGTTAGATTTGGAAGGTAGGAATAATGATTGCATTAGCTTTTCTGTTTATACCCACAACTGCAAAAATAAGTGACTATGTCTTGGGAGAAACACTGCTTTAAAGTGGCACTGTGAGCAGTCTGCAGCTGCTTCAGATGAAGGATCAGTTCAGTGAAGAAACAGAATGGCAAAATCTGCCAATGATTACAAAGAAAATCATACCCTCTCCCTTATTTATAAACTCCAAAGTGAATCCAGTCCAGAGAAATCACATGAGGATTAGATGCGTTTCAAAGTGAATTTTACAGACAACCGCTCAGACAACCTGCAATGAATTTCAGGAAGAAGACCATGCTGTTTGCCAATATCCCTGCTCTGCTGAGTGCAGCTCTGATGGGACTCAGTCGACTGTGTGGATCCTTTGAAATGATCATTGCTGGAAGATTAGTTTCTGGAGTGTGTGGAGGTAGACTATTATTCCTACCTATGGTATTAAATAGCTGGGAAAGCAGTGACTGATGGTCATAGGGATTTACCAGACTGAGTATACAGATCACAGATTTTTACTAAACTCTGCAGAGAACCTGATTGCTGAATGCATTGTTAACTAAATAAGCAAACACAAACACAGTTACATTAATCATGTGTGACATCTCCATTTCTCATTCTTTTATCTTTACATCCAATCCATATAAAAATTACTGCCAACTTGTGAAAAAGACAAAACACGCAGTATTTCAGGGAAACATGCTCATTCAACAGAAAGCTGACCTCTGTTGTTTCTGTGGTGTTTGTTGTGGCTGATACTGCCTTCCATATTACAGACAGGGGAATGGTTTTCAGGCCGGGCAATTCTAATTTCCAGGTGCCTCAGAAGGTTACAATCTCTCAGTGTTTTTGATCCCTGAGCAGTTGGATAAAGATAATACTAACCAGCAAAAAAAAATTAAGAGAGGATAAATATTAATTAATTCATTAAGCAAATGGAATATATAGCTTTTGTTAACTTGTTGGTTTCAAGCACAAAATAAGGCACGTAACATCCTGAGTAGACACTGAAATATATAATCTGAGATTAAAGGGAGCAATAGCAATCCTGTATATGTGGCTATAGGAAACATTGTAAGAGAAGGCCAGCCTGATGAAGAACAGATTTCCCAGGGGAACATATTTACTTAGTGAAATATTTAGCAAAGACGCAAGGTCACGGTACTGGGAACATGCTTCATGTCAGGCAGACACAGATTCAGCATGGTTAAAGGAGTATCTCGGAGCCTAACCCTATATGCTTTGCCCATAATTTTGCCCCTCCAAAACACCAGACCTGACAGTCATTTGTCACTGCAGGTTTAGCTCTGAATATCCATCTCATGTATGCTGGGGAATGTGCCCCACGGAAGCTCCGTGGGCTGATTGCCATAACAGCTTCTACTGCCATTGCTGTTGGAAAGTTTGTAGGATTTGCTCTGGGTCTCAGGTAAGGGGGTCTAAGACCGATTTAATTTATTCTGTTATTAAAATATATGCATACATCAATGCAAGCCTATGGATAGGCAAATCAGCAACTATTTTTAGACATGTTTTCCAGGTACCTTAGGCAGCCTGACTGAATTAGCTCAGCCCAAATTCCTGACTTAAGTAAATGGGAAACAGAAATCATACAAAATATGTATGAACTGACCTTTATTTTTCTTTTTATAGAAAGAGCACGGAATATCAGATCCATCCAAACTTTCTTGAAAATACACATAAACAGGCACACCCACTCATCAAACACGCACACAAAACCAGAAAACCTATGGTGGATTTATTCCCCTCAGCACAGGCTCGTTCTGCCTGTCCCATACCAAAGATGGTCCATCCTGTTTCCAGGCACGCATCATTCTGGCCACAGAATTCTCAAAGCTACAGGAAACCCAGCGGCTGCTATTTGGGACAGCCTGTACCAGGCTGATAACCCCTGGATCCTGGCTTAACTGTAACTTGAGACTCTTTGGATCAGAAGCAGAGAGATCAGCCACCGCGGGTTCTTTCTTCAGCGCTTGTGCAGGGACACTTTGCCCCTGAGGGCCCTCAGCTGCCGCAGGATGCAGTTAGCCTTGCTGCACTCACCACTGAGCAACAGGTGGCAACACGGTGTAACCCGTGTGCTGCAGACAACTAGCACTCTGCTCTCCCCTTCCGCCTCCCACTGAGAGTTTAATTTTTGTTGGTTGAGAAATGCTGGAGAGTCGCGGGTGAGAGCTGGCAGGACACACGCTGCAGGGCCGAGGGACCATCCTGTGTCTGTGTGTGCTCACATGGCCAGCGCTCAGCTCAGCATGGCTGCTCAGCTCCTCTTGCTCTGCTGGTTTTGTTTCAGAGAAGTTCTTGGAGTAGAATCTCTCTGGCCTATCCTCATGGCAGCCAACGCGCTTCCCGCCCTCTTTCAGCTTCTCACGCTCCCCTTCTTCCCAGACTCTCCCCGCTATCTGCTCATTGACAAAAAGGACAAGGAGGGGTGCATCAAAGGTAAGGAAATGGGCCACAAAGCATTCATTTTAGCAAAAAGTGAGAAATACAGTAAAACCCCACATGAGCCTGGAAGAGAGGTACAGTTGGGAAAGAGACTCTCTGTCTTTTGACTCTGAAACTACCTTCAGCTTTAAAGAAAGACAGCCTCTTCTGTTTTGATACTAGCGCTCTCTTGGCACTAGTATTTCCCTTATCCTCTGCCAGGATTCTCCAAGAGATTACACAGAGCTTGTATTTCCCTCAATACAGATTCAGCCTTGAATAGTCAGGGTGTGGATACGGTACCTTCTGGCTCTGTGGAAGAAAGGGATGCTCCTTACTGTCATGCCGTATCTGTAAGCATTGTAGTTTTTCAGTAACCCTAACAGCAGCTACAGACATAAACAGAAAACAACAGACATTTTGGGGTTTTTAAGTATCAAGAGAGAGAACTTCTTGGATGTAGACTCATTTTTTAATACAGGAATCATTTTTACTTGTCTGTGTTTTGCGCTAGAACTGCCTTTAGCAGGAGAGAACTTGGGGAAGGATTGGTAAGAATTTAGGCTCAACTGACAGTGAAACACTGTAAGCCACTATTGGCCAAAGGTGAGGTCATGATTAAGATTTATGGGCAAAAATAAATAGGAATGAACTGAATCTGTGTCTAAGCTGAACCCAGATTCCTAGGAAGTTCACACAAGCAAAGAGCCTGAAGCTCAAATAAGAGACTCAGCAAGGCAGAGTAGTCCTCTGAATTCACATCTGTGCTGGTGAGCTTGGACCAAGAGTCATCTTCTTTTTTCCTCTCCTTCCAGCTGTGAAGCAGCTCTGGGGAGATGGTGACCATATGGCCGAAATAGATGACATGATGGCAGAGCAAGAAGCCATCCGCGGGGAGAAGGCTAAGAGCGTTTGTGATCTTTTTCGAGACAAAGCTGTCCGATGGCAGCTCGTCACTCTCTTCCTTGTCGCCTCATGTAAGCAGTTAATTGGAGTCAATGTGGTACGTGTGCTACTTTTCTCTGGTCTCTAGATTGTTTACAGTTTCTTGGCAAAAAGTAAGCTCTGCGATGAGTAATAAAATGCTGACTGCAACAGAAACTGTAAGGAGGGGATCTGTTGTTACTCTTTATTATAATCTTCCCATGGAAGTTTGGGACCTGGGATAAGTCGAGAACTGTGTTTTAGCAAGTGTCACCTGAAGGCATCTGTATGGATTACCCTATTACGATAAGGGAATGGAAGGGGATAAAATAAAATCTCAGATACAGAACAAGTAAAGAACAGCGTAACCTCCGCTGTGTCTCTGAACTCCAGAATGCACTGACCAAAACTGTTCAGCCATTTCAGTACAAACTGAGTCAGGTTTGTCATGTACACTGACATTTCCATACTCTTTATGGAATATGCATTTCCATACTCTTACTTTGTTGGTTTTCTTTCTAAATTCTTTAACTTTGCACTTTCTCAGATTATAGACAAGTAAAACATCCCAGTAATATATGTGACAGTTACTGACATACTCTCTAACATACCTTTTCTCTGGAAATATCTCTATCTATGTTTCAGTAGAGAGCACTGAGTATTGGAATAGTTATTGTATAGAATGAGCTTATAGGAAAAGTGTCAAGACCCAGATTAATTTTGCAAATTCAGAAAGATTTCAAGATTCATAAGACCCCTTTATAGCCCGTCTAGTGCAGCAGTAACGGTATAAAGGACCAGTAGAAATTGAGCGTATTAACAGTGGGATTTCTTATGGTTTAGGAGTGCTTACAATCAGAAAACTAGTGACTATCAAAATCACTGCAAATGCTTAAAGATGATGTCGAAAGATAATTTTAACTATTTGCTTAGTATGTACTGTTTACATTTCTGTATGCTTCTCATCCAAAGCACATAGGACACTAAAACATATGAAAGATGTCTGATAGAATTATAACCTGTGACATAAGACAAAGGCTAGTGCTAAGAGCAAGCAAAAAAAGAATAAGGCTATATTTGTTACTGAGTTGGAAACAGAGCTGCTAGTAAAAGCTGTTCTGCACAAATAAGCCTCATGGAAACATTGAGGATTAGTTACTGAAATCAAGAAAAATATTTTCTCTTTAAGGCCTGATTAATTATTTTCTGTCAAAAAAGACAGAAGGTACCGTACACATGACCACATGGGTACAGCCTTCACACATTTGTATTCTTTCCAGGTTTACTTTTATGCATACAATGTCTTTATAAAGGCTGGAATCCCCCCTGCTCAAACCCGCTATGTCTCCCTGGGAGTTGGGATCACTGAGATCCTCACCACAGTTCTGTGTGTAAGTGGCTTTTCAGCTGAATTTCATTCTGCTGTAATGCGTGGTTCATTTCAATCTTTAGATTCTACTGTAAATAGAGCTTCATGAATCAAACTTCTGCAACAAATCAACTGTAGTGCTTTGCACTGATCACACAAAATCATCTCCACACACTCTGCAAACATGGGCGTTTATATTCAATTTATGGTAGGTCAGGAGAGACTTTCCCTCAAAATCATGACTCAGCCTGAGCCAGCCTTGGGCATCCCAGTTCCCCTCTGCAGGAAGGGCAGATGACAGTCCCTGTGTCCACTTGTCAGTAGGACTCACGGCTGTAGGATTCATGGCAATTAACAGTGCAAGCCTTTCACTTTGCTGTCCTTCCTGGCTATCCTTCACCTGTGGAGTGCTGCCTCAGACCTCCTCTTCCCGGGCAATGCTCCCTGCAGCCCTGCACCTCCTCACCTTCCACCCTTCCCTGCAGCTCCTGGTCCTGCTCAGTCCCACCAGACACCTTTACTTACCCTCCCAGTCTCCGACTCAGAGATCCCCTGCCTGGCCAGTGAAGGCAGCTTTCCAGAGCAGCTCACCCATGCCTGCCATTAAGGTCTGTGCTTTGTAGCTGACAGCATGTCCTCCTGGTTGCAGGGTTTCCTGATTGAGCGTGCAGGGAGGAAGACACTGCTGTGGAAAAGCTACACTGTTATCGCCTTGGCTTTAGGGCTCCTTACAGTCACACTTTCACTACAGGTAAGATGCCACTTATGCATTAGAGCTGTATCCCATCTTAGTGTTTTATTGTGTGGCAGATATCATTGCTTTTTCCCTCCCCCCAAATCACTTTTTAGTGGGAGTGGAAGTATTTGAGGGGGCTAAACATGATACTAACAGAAGTCTGTCCCCAGCCATGTACAGGCAGATTAAAGCCAATAGCTTTATACAACCATGACCGCTGCCTGTCTCCTTGTGAAGTTTCTGGAAGTAGAGGAAACACATGTATGTTTAACAATGACATACTTAGCAGTGATGAATGTTTCTAATGGAGCTGGATAAATAAAATTTTAATTTCTGATTTTATTTGCTGTTCATTTCCTACCGTAGGATTCCTTTTCCTGGGTACCATACTGCTCTGTTGCACTCATCTTCATTTTCATCATGAGCTTTGGCATTGGGCCAGGTTGGTATTTTCTACTGGAATGGTTTCATATACTCATTCCTTCCTCACTGCAGCCTTTAGAGAGGTTCCAGGCATAGCTGTTGCACAGTTAGCATGAATCCCTACTCCTGATTCAGTACTGTGGTAAGAGGTAAAACTTCATTTCATATTGCATTCCTACATGCCTTCCTCCTGAAGAGCCAAGCAGCACCTCAAACACTTCCAGGTCAGTTAAAACCATTAACTTATATGGTATTATGAAGTGTGAGTTACAGCAGCATCTTGCAAAATTCCTAAACTTCCTTTTTTCTCCAACTTTTTTTTCAGCTGGAGTATCATGCCCCTTGCCCACAGAAATATTTATTCAGTCATACAGACCAGCTGCTTATGTTTTTAATGGTGCTACAAACTGGCTCCAACTCTTCATCCTTGGACTTTTGTTCCCTTTCATTGTGGTAAGCAAAGCAGGGTGTTTTGTTTCAGTTCAGAGGAAGAGGTTAGACCTTTCCTGAACCCAGAGCATACTTCTCTTTTTCAACACATCATGCAAAGGACAGAGCCAAACTAATTGCAGTTCTGGTGGCCTCTTTCTTTTTACACAGATACCTAGTGAAAGCATAGCAAAACCACACACAGTTATAGTGTGACATTGGCAAACACAGAAGTGGTGGCAGTGGCACCAACACTTGTCAGACATCATTTGAATGTCATGAGGGGCTCCCTTCTTTTCCCTCATTGTCCTGTATGTGCATCTCCTTTGGGGTTAATGTGGAAAATGGGCAGTACCAGAGATCTCAACCAGCACTAGTAAGTAGCAGGAAACTAAACCCCTTGCAGTTTTGGACTGTGCAAGGAGGGACAAAGCTAACAGGCTATGTACCTTCCCCAGTCTAGCACTGACTGAGAAGGATGGATCAGAAATGAAGAGTAACTGAAATGTAGCTCAGCACTTCTCAGAATTGTCAAGCAATGACATTCAATGTTTGCGGAGCATACAACTTTCCTCCTGAAAGCAGGAAAGGAGCATTAGTTCATCTTACCATTCAGTGCCATTCCCCAAGTGCCAGCAAGCAGGATTTACATCAACTGAGTCCCTGACCAAGTGTTTTGGTAAATACAAAACCAGAAACCCCATATCATAAGAGAAAGAAATCTAGATCAATTTATGTGAACACATTTTGTCTCTTTCTTTTCCTATAGGAAGGACTTGGTAGTTTCTGTTTCATCATTTTCCTGACATACTGTCTGTCCATGGCTACCTTTGTCTTCCTGGTGATGCCAGAGACCAAAGGAAAGACCATGTTGCAGGTCATGGAGGAGTTCAATCGCCTGAACTACCGTGGAAAGAAGAGACAGACAGCCCTAAAGCAGAGTAACTGCTCAGTGATGATTGTTACTAGACTTTAATAACAAACTCTCCACTCCATATTTTGCTCTTTTATTACTGGTAGTGCCCAGAAGCCTCACTAAGCAAGAGAGATTCCATTGCTCCACATACAGCACAAATGTGTATCTTAAAAATAATCACCTGCAGTGCAGGGTACAAGATGAACTTGGTGGTTCTCTCCAACTGCTGAAATATGAGCTGAATTAAATCCTCTGCATAAAAAATCTTGCAGTGTATAAAGAAGTAAGATCTTTGTCAGTCCCTGCAAGTTAGCAGTTGTGTAAACTGGAAGCACAGGATCTGCTATTTTTCTTACCAAACCTCCACAGTTATTGGAGGAAATGAGTGTGGAAGATTCAGATGTACAGTATACTTGTGAAACTGAGAGAAAAAGAGGACAGATGTTTCACATTGAAATTATCTGCTCCTATTAACAAGTCAGTGCTGTCGAGCTTTCACAGAGAAAGAACTTCAGTCCAGATGAAAAGAAGTGTTTAGCTCTTTAATCCGGTGAAAGAAGGGTACCTTGCCTATCCGTAGAAAGAATCAGCATGCAGTGTTTCCCCCCTTACAATTAGACTTGAGAGCAAGTATATGGTATAGGGGCAACTAGGACTTTCTTGAGCAGCTTATGACCACACTTCTGTGACCTACAGCATGGTCTTTATCTTTTTTTTTGGGGGGCGGGGTGTGAGTCATTGCTACAGCTGAAGAAAAAAGGTGTACAGGTGGTATAAAGTCCTGGTGTAAAGGAGATACTATGCTAGAGAAGCATCCAAGCATAACCTGTCACCTCAAGCCAAACCTCTTGCTTGGTAATCAGGTACATTGCCTAGATTTTGGAGATTCTTCTATTGGAACAAATAGGGATATGTCAGCACTGAACAAAAGCATAAGCAAAGAAAGCAGAGCTGCAGGAAGTCATGAGTGGGCTAACCCACAGTGGGCAGGTTTTCTTTCTTCACTAGCAATGACTATGCAGCATGTCTTCAGCCTGGAGTTATTTCATGTCAGAGGGAAGGAACACTGGGTTTCAATGGGATTGAGTTCCCAAGAGTAACTGGTACTGATGAGACAAAAAAAGAGCAGTGCCTCTCCTGGAGAACCCAATCTGTATGTCTGAGTGTTTGCTGCTCTCTCCAGATCTATGAATACTTCATCTTTTAATTACAAAGCATGGTAAAAAGGGCTTCACTTTTTGTATTCGTTGCTATATGATGTGACACACTCTTGCTCTTCTTCAGGTTTTGCAGTTTACTGATAAGGAAATAAAAAAGCAGTGACTAGGAAAACATATCCTACTGATCATGCCTGAATTTGGTTTTCATTGTCTGAAGAGTCAGGGACAGAGGAGAGCCCATCTCCTGGGAATGTGTTGTTGGGGTCAAGGAATATTTTGTCCGTTCTGTCTTGTTCTGGAAATGAGAACTTCACTACTGACCGTTGCAGATGCTGCACAATAAAATTTGCAAAAGAACTTGAATGTTGAGTGGCAGTTTCTTTCACAGCCCTAAGGCTCCTGCTATTTTATCTTCACACTGTCCTCTAATAATATTTGTAGCAGTGCCAAGAGCTAATACCAAGAGCAGTGGGCTTCCCCCACACAGCCATCCTTCCTATGACAATCATCATATTACAAAAAAAGATGGACAAAGTTTATATTTTCAAGGCTGGAGGTCATGGATTGCACAAAACCACAGAAAGAACCAATATATATTTGTTCTTCTGGTCAAAAATGCAGGAAGAATAAAGAAGAAACATTTAAAGTATTTTGAAAAGAAAGGATAAGTAAGACCTTGGTTATTTTATAAGTCTTTATTTGGTCTGGTCTTTCTCAACCTTACTGGTTCCCAGTGAAGAAGTTTTTAGTGTCTTACAGGACACTAAAACCTCATTTCCTTATACATGTCTTTCTACAGTGTGATGTCGTCCAGCATGCCTGACTTCTTCCTTTCTTCCCTCCCACTAGGAAATACTGTCTGCAAGAGGGAAAGTGGTAAATCATTAACACTGCCATAAACTAGCACGGATTTGGTATAAAGGTTAAAGAAGTCCTTGTGAATCTGCAGTGTATCTGTTTGATTTCCAGGATCACACAAGTGCAACACATGGCATCTTTGAAAACAAATTCCCAAGGGTATTGGGTGAGCTAAGTACTGGGTTTGGAATAAGCACATTTCTGTAGTGTTAAAATACTAGGTGGAAAGACTCATCCTGTCCTCTTCTTTAGCAAAATCAATAAGAACTATATGCTAGGCATTTAAGTTGCTTTTTCCATATTACAGCACTGAACAGAATTGTGAGGCCAGATAGAAATGAGACAGCAGTATGAGTATTCTTGGAGAAACACAGACAACAGGAGGAAGAGGAACAGGGCCGTGCAGGGGATTGTGATCAACCAGATGTTAAAATCTGGCCACAGATAGAGTGTTTAAAAACCCCTCCAGAAAGACCCAGGGCTGCCATGTGTGTCCTTCCTTGCAGCAGCCAAGCTTCCCATCCTCAGCTCAAAGAACAAATCTTCCTTTCCCCTCTAGTTCATTCAGACTCATCTGCTCCCTGCCTGTGGCCCCACTCTAAGGTGCCAGACCCTGCTATCTGAGTCAAGAAAAATGGTTTGCTCTTAGTCTGGCAAAATCTCTTTGAGAGGGAAAAGAAAAATAGAAACGGACTTGCAAGGGACAGTACAGCATGGAAAGATCTCGAAACAGAGATACGACATTCAAGTTTGATACAGGAAACAGAAGAATTTAAAAGGAAAGTAAAGGTAAAATGAGAGAAATGGCACAGGAGAGGGGTAATTATTTCGAAAGCAGCTTTTAGAGTGTCCTGACAGAAAGCAAGAAGTAACACTGGATTGTTCAAGTATCTCAAGACCTTTCTGCCACAGGAGTTGGGAACAACAAAAGCTTACAAGAGTTCAAAGAGGATCTCAGTAAATGTGTGGAAGGAGCAAACATAAAGACACCATTCTGACTGACAAAGTCCCAGGGTTGCACATCACTAGGGCCTGGAAAACGCGCAAGGAAAGCATCACTGCTCAGTTCTTACGGTTTTGCCTACAACTGCTATTTGCAACTGACAGCTCTGGGATATTCTGCTGGACACAGTTCTGATCTGATCCTAGAAGATAGAGTGGATGGTGGTGGTAAGAGAGGACAGGGAACAGCTGGACAATCTGGCTGCAGTGTTCTCTGTGACAGCAAAATCGATGGCTGAGGGGAAGGCAGTGGCCGGTGTTGAAGTGAATGGAGATTGAGAGGGGGAATTTGTAGGAAGCAAGAGAAAACCTAAAGACAGACAGGGATTTTTGCAGTAGTTATTGAAAAGAAATGTAGATTCTGGGTTGCTTTAGGAGAGGAAGCGAGAACATTTGAGTAGTCTGTGCTGGGAGCGGAAGGAATGAGTTACACCAGCACAGCTGACGTGAAGGTGATGAGCATTTCAGAGAAAATGAAAATGGAATGGATGGAAAGAAGATTCAGCTTGAATTATTTCAGTGTATTGATGTGCAACAAGACACCCAGGCAGAGGGTTTGGAGAGAGTGTTACTGGGACATCCAGCAGGAGAAAGGTCAAGGTGTGACTCAGCAAGCTCGCCCTGTGCTGCAGGGCACACAGCCCAGGGGACAGCGTGGGGCTGAGTTGTCAGTCACTGTAACATGAAAAACAAGCTGTATTTTTTTAATGCCGGTGCTTCTGCCGTGCTCCTGAGCAAAGCTTCTGTTGCTTTCAGAACCGTAACCCCACCTTCCCACCTCCCCTTTTGGCCCTAACCATGGACAGTTAAATCTTTGTAGTGTCAAGTGAACTATGCTGTATTCAGTGTAGTACAAAGCATTACATTTAATACATATAAGCCTGAAGGAACAAAGAATTAACTTACACTCTTTGCAAATAGTCAAGTCTTTGGTTGATTCAAAATCAAATCTTTTAAGATGAAAAATACTTCTTAAAATCAACTCTCAAGCCAGAACAGAATGAGCATCCTGCTCTGGCACACAGTAGTCCATCTCCATTGTTACAGAGAGGTAAGAGTGAGGCTTCTGAGTGGTCCTGGAAACAGTGTGACCCTCTATAAAGAACTGAGTGTGAGCAAGGACACAATACGCCCATATTCAGGTACTTCATGTTCTGCAACTGGGAAATTGTTCAAACCATTTCAAGCAATTGAAAATCTTACAGCATGCAAGAAAAGAGGTGTTACAGCTCAGCTACAATACAAAGTGGCTTTTCTCTGTAGCAGAATGGAGAGGAGGAAAACACGCTCTGCCCAAGCTGCTCATCAGAGACATGAAGAGGGACTCTGCTCCCCTGAAGGAAAGATGGTAGCACCATCTGATGGCACACACAACAGGAACATGCGGTGGTTTAGCAGTGCAAATAAGGGGGAGCACTCCCAGAACATGAAGGATAAACATTTACTGATGTTGTAATCGGCTTGGCATATCTGGGTCTTGCAATAATTAAACCAGCAAGAAGAGTCCCTGGCCAGTGTCGGAGGAGGACACTATTCAGTAAAAGCCGCATAGTTAGAATTTAACTTCTGTGCTAAGATCCAAACTTCTTATAATCTAAGCATAGAAAACATAGCTCTCGTCTGACAGACTTGACAAGGGCTCTCAGAGCAGGCAGGTTTTCAAGGGGAAATGGCTGGTTTCCTCTCAGACCTGGTGAGTATCCAACTTCTTGTCTTCTAGCCCTAGTCACTAATAGCAGCATGATCTTTAAAGATTACAGCAAAGGGAATGAAACAATCTTTCTCGTAACAAAAATGAGCAACAGAGCACGTGCTGGGGACAGCACTGATTCAGCAAGAGGACTTATTACATGGCATGTCCAGAAAATATATTAGAAATACAAAAGAGTGAGAGATTTAAAAAAGGACCTGGGAAACCAGGAAAGAATAAGCATTTTGAGGAAGATAGAGATAATAGCAGCAATGAAACAGCAGAAAACAAAAAACCCTCCCACTCTACTATCCTGCACTCTCAAGGGTATTTCAGGATCCTCATCTGTT